CGCAGATGGGAGAGAGTCAATAGCCGAAACACTATTATCGATCTACGGGCCAGCAACAAACAGAGGAAGAATGACGGAAAGCGAGAGAGGGAGAGAGGGAGGAGGACGGAAGAGCGAGTTCTGATGATGAGATGGGAGCCAGACTGCGCTAGCGGGAGTCGTGGGAAGGAGGACCGTTGCTGCCGCGCGTCGCCAAGGCTTGTCAATGGAGAGGAGAAAGACGAGAAAGAAGAATAGATTCCGACGAAGGAAGAGAAGAATGCAGTCACACGAACGGAAGCGAAAGAACGAGATGAACGAGACGGAAATACTTAAAATGGGTGAGTGAAACAAACTGTGTCGGCATAGAGTTGTAAGGAAACTTAAAAACTATAGTTTCAAACCACAGTGCATAAATATACAAGTGATAGTGAAATACTCCAAGCACTTTGCCTGTATGGTGCATGTTCAGTATTGAGCTACTTGCGGAGCGGAAACTATTTATAATAATGAAGCCGATACAGTTGTTTCACAAGCTTACCTGGCATTGTATTTATGTATGTATGTAGGTTTATGTTGTTGTATGTTTACGTTTTTTAAAGTTGCCGTAACGGTACGTTTTCACTATATTGTCAGAACTGCTAAACACATTCTTCAATTAGAGTTTGATTAATAGGCCAAAACATTTCATCGAAAATATGGAAATCAGTTATTGCGTATTTTTGTGGTGTATGAATGTATGATGTATGACGTATGATGGATGATGTATGATAATTTTTGTTGGCTGTATGATGTGTGGAAGTGACAAGTACCACATCAGTGCAGTGTCTATTAATGCCGCTCTGCCCTGTGTGGGATATGATATTATGAGGATATAATCAGACTCCTGATATAATGGAGCACATGGTTGGAAACGTGCGTTGCGGTAAACTATACGCCACGTACATTACAGTATAAAAAAAGACGCAAGAGTGTGAGTAATTGCAGCGATATCAAAATGTTTACTGCCAAATGTGTTGAGTTTCTGACTTGTATTGTGATCGAACTTTATCGTTACTTGTTTTCTACGCTTCATATGTGTTTTCTTATGTATTTTGATTGTTGTTATGTTTGTGTATTGATTGTGGGTTGTTTAATCGGACAGAAAGACGTTTCTCTTGTTGGGTTGAGTTAGGAAGATATTAGGGTAGTAACTTTTTTTGAATTGTTTAGGTTTAGGTTGAAGTGCAGGGGCGGCGCCCACGGTTTTCAAAGTGGGGGGGCCCAATTGAGAGAATGAAGCGACCATGCCGGGGGGCTGAGTTATTCAGACAGTTTGAAAAACGCAACAAGGGAGGAACGAGTTGTGGTTTGTAAGTGTCACTGTGAAAGAGAGCACATCGCGTGTATCTGCGTGTGAATGTTGTTTTATTACTCTGGGTATGCTTATAACTCGTGTGTGTATATTCCCTGTGTGTGTGTTTATTACGATGGCATTCAGTGTTTATTTACCTTTTTTGGCGCTAGTATCAGTGTATACGTTGTCTCAGACCATTTTGTATTGCTCAGACTCGTCACTGTGCACTTGTTTAATTGATTTTGCCTAAGAACACTTCGGTTTGTCGAAAGGAAAGGTCCTGCGACGTAAAGTAGTTCCTTGCTAATCGTCACACACGAATTACTGTGCGAGTTACTAAGAACTGATTATAGTATAGTTCGTTAACCTTTTGTATTTGTATAGTTAGGGTAATCTGAAATGTGAGTGTGTCGGGTATTTGAGATGACGAGCCGTGAGAATTCTTGCGCCGTACGATTCTCGGCGGGAACAGCATGGCGCACCTGGCTTGTGCCATGGTTTTCATTTGTTCTACGATACTATAAAATTTATCGATAATTCTCCGAACCCCATAATGCCGCACGAGGTAATTATTAAGACACAATGTCAATATTTCGTACTGATATAAAACGGTGTTGTTAGCATTCTTTGGAAGTGGGTGGTTCGCGAGCAATTACAGTGGTATCAGACGTCGTGTAACTTCAGCCACGAGAATTCCAGGCAAGTGGCCAGGCTTCCTTCGAAACAATGACAACAAACAGGATTTGTTCCAGTTCCTTGCCCAGAAATGTGAGGATCATGAAACTGAAGATGACAAGGCAATCATAAGCACGCTGGGCGATCAAGTTGTGTGCTCATTCAAAGATGCTGTAACTTCAATGCTTTGTTCTTGCTCACATGAAGAAGCAGACTCGAGGATTTTTGTCTATGTTAATGACATGGCTTGTCAGGGACATACAAAAGTGATGATTCGCACTGTTGTGGTGGACATAGCTGTTACTAAATTCTTGGAAATTGGTCTGGATGAATTATGGGTTGCCTTCGGAACTGGTAAGAACTACAGACATATAGCGGTACACCAGATAGTCGGCAGTATTGGGCCAGAGAAGTCACAGGCACTGGCATTTTTTCATGCATTTACAGGCTGTGATACATGTCCTTCTTCTCAAACCGTGGAAAGAAGACTGCTTGGCAGGCATGGCAGGCATACCCTGATGCTACAGACGCATTCCAAGCACTGTGTTCGCAACCTGCTGACGTACCGAAGACTGTCATGGACATACTGGAGCGATTCGTCGTCTTGTTTTATGACCGCACCAGTGAGCTTCAAGGCGTAGATACCGCAAGACGCTACCTGTTCTCCAAGAAGTCAAGGGAGATAGAAAATATCCCTCCTACGGCGGCAGCTCTATTGGAACACACAAAGAGAGCTGCATTCCAAGCAGGCCACATATGGGGTCAATCCTTAGTCACCAACCCAGATGTTCCATTGCCAGCTGACTGGGGTTGGGAAAGGCGTGATGGACTATGGCAGGTGATATGGACCTTACTTCCTGAAGCAGCCAAGGCTTGCTACGAGCTAATCAGCTGCAAGTGCAAGAAGACCTGCGCAGGAAACTGCAAATGTTACAGGGCCAGCCTCCAGTGCACGTCACTATGCACCTGTGACGGACAATGTTATGAAAACTAAACTGTGAGGTACAAGTGCATACCACTTTAAACAAGAATAGAGGGCAGTCATCTTGTTTGTTGTTTGTTGTCGATGTTGAGGTGACATTTCCATAAAAATCTATGGGATGCTAATAAAAAAGATTACTTATGCATCCAAGTTGCTCTTGATGCCTCATCCTTCAAACATGCTATGAGAATTCCATAAGGATAAGTTTACATTATTAATGAATTGTTTAATTGATAATGTTATCATACATTATACACTAAAACCTGTTGCATTGTGTAGGTATGACAGCTAGCCATCTTGGAATCCAATATGGCAGAATCCTGACGTTCATAATAATAGTTTCACTGAATTCCTTGACCCTGAAATTGCGGGTAGGCCACTGGAAT